CATATTTTTGAACATTTGTTTGAACTATATAATCTTTTATGATTAGTAGACATGCACATTAATTTTCTTCTGTAAAGAATGGTAGATTCTTGTAGAGAATCCTAAACTTGAAAAAACACTAGATTATATTCTTTGTTAATTGTGTGTGATCAGTACTTTTATGTAATGAGACACAGTAAAAGATCAGTTCTTCACATCAATTGGTAGGATTGAAAAGCTTTTTCCAGATGCTCTGAATTGCTGCTAAAATTAATATTCACAATAAGGGATGAAAAGAACTAGTGTTTTATCTCAATTTAAAGTTATTTTCCCAATGAATTACTATACCTAGCTTTCAAGTTAAAGTTATATTGCTAGATTCTAAGAGATGACTCCAACTCCTTTGAGTGGAGGAATCAAAATTGAAGGATGAAATATGAGGGACATATGAGAAACGAGGTATTGTCAGTGGTGGGATCTGGATCCCGTTGCAACCAGTACACTGCAACGGGGCCCAGCGTCCACCATATGAACGTGCGCAGTGCACGCATGCATACTTACCAGTCACGACACTCCAGCTGTTTGGCAGAGCATCGTGCAGGTGCTGTATACTCCATGCGCGTATGTGAAAGCCCAGATCGGCTCAAATAGTGGTAAGGAGAGCGAGTGGGCAGGTGGGCCCTCCAGAGCACCATATCAGAACGGTACCTGGCACTCCCAGCAGGCACCGGTACGCCCATACCTGTACATACGGGTCATATCCCACCACTGGTATGTGTAGTCTAATAAAGAAAAGGATTAGGGATGATATGAAGAGCCAAGGTGGCACAGTGGTTAAATGCAGCACTGCAGGCTACTGCTAGATCAGCAGGTCAGCGGTTCAAATCTCACCGGCTCAGGGTTGACTCAGCCTTCCATCCTTCCGAGGTGGGTAAAATGAGGACCCAGATTGTTGGGGGCAATATGCTGACTTAGAGAGGCCTGAAAGGCCTATGAAGCGGTATATAAGTCTACTGCTATTGCTATTGCTATCGCTGTCTTTGAGGACAGTCACAAACAAAAGAGGGTTGACTTATTCTCCAAAGCACATGAGGACAGGACATGAAGCAATGGTTCACTAAAGACAGATCAAGTC